TCCCCAACATATGGCATCTTTCATTCTCTAGGCTCTGTGGTCTTGGAACTATGACAGAGACCAACAGACCCATGTGCACACGGGTGCATACACATGTGCACATGCATGCATGCACAAACACACACATTCTCTTTCAGTAATAGATGAAATTTGTTGAGTTTTTTTAAAGCATCTGCTATTCAGTGCAGTTTCCAATATTCACAAGTCTTATGCTGCTAGGGACAAACGCAATTGCAGAGAGTTGAACAGTGCAGATTGTACCCCTCTGCCCATCGTTGCAAAAGGAAGAGTCTTTTTACTGAAGGACGGGCATGCTTCCTTTGATCCCGTTTCCATTGTTTCCCCTCCAACTCACTTTCACTCAGTGACTTTTTCTATGTCCCAATCTGTTTCATTATCTGAAAACTGAAATATCCTAAATGCTGTTGTGCAGTCTTTTTCCAAGAGGCAGGTTGCCGTCTTTCAAAAGACAACTATGTATTCCTAACGGAATTTGAAAAGATCACAGGAAAAAGACGTACAGTGGATACCCAATTTTACTAAGCCAGACAAAAAGTATTGTAATTTAAAAGGCACAGTGAACTAGGCTCTTACCAGCCTCCTCTGATTTCTGCAAAGCTACAGACTTTAGCTGAGCAAACTTGTACATTCAGCTGGGAAACCAGAACATTTATTTGATGCTCATGAATTGCAACAGGGTTGCCATATGCTGTGCAGCAGAAACAGTATGCAAGCACCATTTCTCCTGAGCCAATACAAACTTATAATATTCCCCCCATCCGTTTCCACCATTACTCATCTTTTTGGAAAAATTGGAGGCCTGAACGTTTTCCTTGCATTTCTTCTCATCCCCACTGTTCAAATTTCTGAACACCTGATTTGTATTTATAGCCAATAGTATTGTCCTCATGTTGAAAGGGATCTTGAGGATCATCTAGTCCAACCCTGCACTCAACAGCAGTTCTGCACTGCAGGCTGCAACTGCGATATTCCTGACCAAAGGACATTGAACTACTACTTCAATACAGTGGTGCCTCGCTTAATGATTGCCCCGCATTATGACGAATCCACTTTACGACGATCTTTTTGCGATCGCGATTGCAATCGCAAAACGATGGTCTAAATGGGGGAATTTCGCTTAGCGATGATCGGTTCCCTGCTTCGGGAACCGATTTTTGCTTTATGACGATCAAAAACAGCTGATCGTCGGGTTTCCAAAATGGCCACCAGGTGCTTAAAATGGCTCCCCGCTGTGCTTAGGGACAGATTCCTTGCTATACAGGCAGCGAAAATGGCCGCCATATGGAGGATCTTCGCTGGACAGTGAGTTTTTACCTCACTGGAACGCATTGAATGGGTTTCAATGCGTTTCAATAGGGTTTTAAATTTCGTTTTACGATGTTTTTGCTTAACGGCAATTTTCCAGGAACAGATTATCGTCGTTAAGCGAGGCACCACTGTACCTCCACCAGAAGGGAGCCCATAACCTCCAACGGTGCTCTTTTCCACACTCAAATAGCTCATATCATCAGGCTGTTACTCAACATTACAACAAACTACTGACTAACATGACTCCCGTTGTCAAAACCTATCACTATGTGTGTATTACAACTGTTGGATTAGAACAGGAGGTCGACAGGATCGTGACAGGGCACCCCGCATGATGCAGAACTGGGACAACAGTAGATTTCTCTCCAACGGCTTTAAAAGCATTCAACCGACAACTTGCTTTGTGTAAAAGCTGAAGTGCAAATGAAAAGAGTGCAAATAGTCCCAGCCCATTAGAAAGTTCAGTCTTGTGAATCTATCCTAATTTAAGCAGTTGAGAAGCAACCTACAATAAGGGTATGAAAAGCAAGGAAACCAAAGCAAGTGGCACTTTCTTTAATATACACTCAGTGCTTGTTTGATTGGTAATCAGAGGGCAACATAGGAGACACTGAGTTGATTGAAACAGCTGCTTCAAACAATCCTATTGAAGACTGCCAAAAAAAACACGGCAATTAAAGATAGAAAAGACCCATTAAGCCATCTTGCAGGCATTCTGTTACTATTTCCTCTGAAGCCAAACAACTCCAGCTCCCTTTTAATGGAATGTGCTTTGATCACCTCTCTCATTCTATTTCACAGAAAATGTTGATAGAACCAGTACTTTTTTATTGAGCAGGTACTGATTGGCTTCATCATGATGTAGCTGCAGCTGATTGTGGGGTGGGGGGAAGAATGCCATTTACTAATTATGAGAACTGCTGAATCTGATGATGGTAGGCAGGAAAACATCATAGATGAGAAGACTAATTTGGTCCTGAACGTACTTGTTTTCTGAGTATATATAGCCATGCGGTGGGGGGGGTGCATTTTCATGTTTTTGAACTATAGGTCCCAGAATTTTCTAAGCAGAATGCTGTGAATTTCAGCCCACAAATTCAGAGAGAGAGAGAGAGAGAGAGAGTATAATTGGCCGTGAAACTACAACTTCCAGCATCCTCCACATGCAGGATGGTGTGCCCCCCCCTTGCTTGGTCATGTAATGGTGGGGGTAATTGACCAAGCAGGCACATAACAAGACCGAAGTTGTTACCTTGCTGCCCATGAGGCTTCATGGAAAGCATTTGCAAATCACAGAATTCTGTCTGCAGAATTTTTGGAGAAAAATCCAAATGACTCCCTCTTTTGTGCACTTTCTCTTTTTTTTAGCAAATATGTCAAGGTATTCCAAATTTTATGAAGAAATTCAAACCTATACAATTTTCAAAAAAGCCAATGTGGTGTACGGGTTAAAGTGCTAGATTGGGACTTGGAAGATTCAGGGGGGTGTCCCCACTGGGCCTGAAGATCAGCTGGTGACCTGAAGCTAGTCCATAATCGACCTACTTCTAAGGATCGCGAAGAAGAGGCGGAGTGGAGGAGCTGAGCTGTGTATGCTACCTTGAGCTTGTTGGAGGAGAGGTATGGTATAAAACTAAGTAATACATAATAAATAAAGGGTTTTGCTTTAAAGTAGAGCTATGCACAAGTTCCTGATTCAGTTCAAAAGCCAATTCAGTACTTCAGGGTAAATCCCAGTTTGGGCCAGAGCAATTCAGAACCCTCCAATTTGATGTCTGCCCAGGATCCTAATTAATTTATAAATTCAGACTGCTAGTCTCCCATTAACTTGCACTGGAAAAGCAAATAGTTAAATGTTTCTCATTTCCAGATAGATATGGATATGGATAGAGATATTTGGTTTGTATTCTGCTCATCTGGCTAACAAGGCCACTCTGGGCAGTTTACAGCAGAAAAATAAGACCAATAATCAACAATTAAAAACAAAATGCACAGCAAAGTAATATTTATATATAGGGAATCTGAAGATACAATCTCCCCTACAGAGGATGGCATCGTACCAAATTTCAGAAAACTGACCTGAAAGGTTTGTATGAACACTTCCAATTTTTTCTAAGAACAAATACCGTACATTTCCTAAAAGCATGTACACTCAGCTGCATACTCAATCTGCAGTTTTTCTCTATACACGTGGACATCTATACAAATACATGCGAGCTACCAGAAAAGAAGAAAATACATTAAAGAATATTCAAATCAGCCCGGATCACCTTGGACTATTTCAGTTTACACTTAAACAAAGTCTGATCATTCTGCTATGATTCAGAACTTGTATGAATCAGTCGGAGACTTTAATTATATGATCAAATACCACAGGATTTGCTGCAGTTATAATACAGTTTGATTCAAAGTATTTTTTTTTCCTGATCACATGATGAACATGATAATTTGAATCAATCCACCTGTTTTGCTCCCAGAATGGCTTTTTTTCCTCTGGATGCAAATTTATTTCCCACAATCCTTATAACTATTTAAGGATGCTGGAAATCTGGGACAGTATGCCATAATCCCACTTCATCTACAACATTTTGAGATCTACAGCTGTGTGAACTGGCATCTACTAGGATTCATTGGTTAAGTTTGCCATGAAAGCAAACTGTGAGATAAAATTACATGTGAGATAAAATTTGCACATGTAACAGAAGACCAGTTTTTAAGGACATGGCTAGAAGTTACTAACAAGCATCGTCTGGAAGAGATGAAGAATGAGAAGCAGAAGAAAGCAGAAAATGCTGGCCAACATTTAATAATCTTCATCATCATCTCAATGACACCCCCATCTCATAAAACAACTTATATTTAATGTTGTTGCAAAAAAATACAGTAGGGCCCCATATGCGCAGTATCAGTATCCACTGATTCCCTTATCCATGATCTGAAAATATTAAAAATATTAAAAGCAAAAAATCTAGGAAAAAAACACATTTTCACATGTGTTATCAGAGCCAGCCATTAGAGGGAGCCAGATACTGTGCTATGAATACTTGTTAGTGAATAATACATAGCATGATCTCTGGCACCTTCTAGTGGCTAGTTCTGATAATACACGTGAAAATATTTTTTCTAGTTTTTTTTCCATTTACCATGCTATTGTTGTTGTTTAGTGTTAAGTCGTGTCCGGCTGTTCGTGACTCCATGGACTAGAGCACGCCAGGCCCTCTGAATCATAGCAGAATGACCATGCTATCCCACACTATTATCCACAGCTTTCCATATCTGGGGAGGGAGGCTTGGAACCAATCCCTAGCAGATATATGGGCTCTACTGTATTTCTGAAATTACTTTTAATATGATTATTCAACAGTTGGCACTGGGTATCATTATATTCAACAGCCAGGATGTTGCTTAAAAATAAAGCCTATGCAAAGTCCCAGTCACAAAGCAAAGCATGCTAATTTGCAAATGATGAGGTGTGAAAGCTCCTTGCTGTAACAATCAGATGTTTTCAACACTTAAGAAATTCCCTCTTTTAATGGCAGGTTATCTCTAATATACAATTTAGCTTTTTGTCTATATATAAATGTTTACAAAAACACAATTTTTTTAGGACTTCATTCGGTTATGTACTTTTCTTCAGATCCACAGCTATATAATTTCAATTTTGAACTCACCAACGATCTCACTTGGTTCTTTGTTGTAAAGTTTTTTGTTCCAGTAGAGAAGCCTTAGGAAAGGAACAGAGACCAGAAGTACAAGGCAAATTCCAACAAACATGTGTCCTGTAAATGCAGCAAAATCCACTCCCTGGAAACAGAAACAGAACAGAGATAAAACTGATTAAAGCAGCTCAGTAAAAATCAGAGATGCACATAAAAGGCCAAGTACTGTACTTTTATTGCTATGTCTTCCAAACCTCATAATGTTGCTTGAGATCAAACAAAATGCAAATACAGTGATGCCTCGCATTATGACGTTAATTTGTTCTAGCGAAATCGCTGTAGAACAAAAAAGTCGTAATGTGAGATAAAAAAGCCCATAGAAATGCATTAAAACCCAATTAATGCATTCCTATGGGCTTGAAACTCATCATCCAGCAAAGATCCTCCATAGTGCGGCCATTTTCGCTGCCCGTGCAGCGAGGAATCCATCCCAGAAAAGAGCAGGGAGCCATTTTTTTACCCAGTGGCCATTTTGAAACCGCCGATCAGCTGGCCGAAAATCATCGTTTTGCGAGAATCTGTTCCCGAAGCAGGGAACCGATCATCGCAAAGCGAAATTCCCCCATTGAAACCATCGTAAAGCGATCGCTTTTGCGAGCGCAAAAAGTTCGTCGTAATGCGATTTCGTCATTAAACGGGGCGCTCATCTTGCAAGGCACCACTGTAAAGAGCTTCTAATCTATGTGTCCCCTTGTTTTTTGTAAGAGAGTTGAATATATTCATATCTGTGAAGATTCTCAGTTATCCAGGTGTGGTTACCTGGAAGCTGAGTCACGGCAACTTGACTTATTTCTTGTTAGGTTGAAACGCTTTGCTATTCATCCAAGCACCTTTTTCAGTCTGAGGAGAGTTGGTTCATGCCCTTCCATTGAAATCGATCACTGTCTACCATGAAGGACATTATTTTTTCTATCTTGTGGCCATGTTGTGATGTAATGTTAAACCATAGTTTAGTGCTATGCAAAGAAGCTTGAGATTTCGGTGTTCCCTTTTTTCCTCTCTTTTGTTTGATTGGATGGATGGATGGATGGATGGATGGATGGATGGATGGATGGATGGATGCATGCCCGCACGCACGCACGCACGCACGCACGCA